CCATGCATAACCTCTACAATATTCGAGCATTTTTCTTCAATTCACTCTTCACACTAGCACCAAAAAGAGATACACAATTGAAAAAATAATGATGTTGATTGAAAACTCACTTAAATTTAGTAGAAGGGATGAGATGAGATCGAAGAGATTCAAAAGAAGGCACACGTAACGTACTGTAACAACCATCACTGTGACATTCTAGTAATTTTCGCGACAACACTCTTGCATTATCATTGAAATATACATTGCGTTCATTTGGAACTAGCAGAGTGTCGTAGTAAAAGCTGAAATTATTCACTATCAACTCAGCATCGGATTTGTGATTAGCTGAAATAAGCATCAGAATTATGACAATACTGAACGTCACCAACACAACAAATGGCTAGCAAACAACAAAGCATTTACAGATTGCACGTTCAGATCCATACAAAAACATTTCATACAATTTGCAGAATCATACCAAAACTATATTAGTATTTTAGAAATATGACAGGCTTTAGAATTGAATAATAGCTATCACTGTTCATTATCGTTGGCATGTCGAGCAAGCAGCAGTGCCACAAGCTGTCTTCCTCGTTAGATCATCAGCGTATATTCTATTTCAAGTATCCTATCAATATTTTGTGTTCACTGCAGAGATCACCATTATAGCTAGCACAAGAGCTGATTCATTCCAGAATCTAGATGGAAAACACCTCAATGATGAGTTGAGCATTTGCATAAGCATAAATGCTCTACATCATAAGTTAAGTTCAGGCTTACGAGGTGCACAGGGACACCGAAAATATTTTCAGACTTTAAATTGCCTCGAACGAACACTGCCTCAAGTGAGCATACGAAATACACCTATAGAATGTTCTGTAGAACTAGCAACACAATGAATATGAGCATCGAACATCGAATATGAGCGATGTGACAGGCAAGATGCAAGTTGGAAAAATTACGAAAAGGATCGCAGTATAATTCCATTGACAATGAGCGATAGACAAAGGAGTGTAGCGCTCTTGAAGCACCATAGAAAGAAAACTATTCATTTAAAAGCCGTAAAAACCCGCAGATTCCGTTACTATCATCGGCAGAAAGTTAATAGGAAAGACATCCAAATAGTAGACGTGAGCGAAAGAAAACATATGAGCTTGCAGTGTTTCATTCTTGATGTGTTTAAAGTGCCAGTGCTCACATCCAGCATAATACGGCCATGATCAAAACAATGAACGATATGAATAGCTGTGAAGATAGTTTTCATGCTGCACCGAGCCAGACAACTTCAATCATCAAAATTTCATACTTTAGTCGGACGAGCACGCAAATATTGACCAATATCAGTTCCGTCAAGCGCTTGTCGGTTAGAGTTCAAGCTCGAGGCACTGAACTTAGCGAAGAAGGCTCACTGTCAGTGATATATCGCATGCTAAGAGTTGATTCAAATAAACACAAGGATTAGTTTATCGATAGTCACTCAGACTGAAGTTCTCGTGGAACTGAGCACATTCAGTCTGAACTTCAGTCCACCTTGATACTAGCAACGTCAATGGTTAACGCTGAATTTCTGTTAAAATCTCCAACACAGTTAGTATACATAAAATAATTTGTGTTTCATTCATATGTGAAGAACGAACGAATGAATCTGGAGGTAACTTACACGCTACGAGCATCCGGACGAAAAGCGCCTTCCAGCGAAGACTGCGATTTTTGCAGTAAATGTGATATTCGCTCAACATCTCTGTGCGGTGCAGCATAATTTTCATCGAATCGCACATCATAATATGCATTCGAGATCATACTGTCCCCATCACACAAATCGAATGTACTCGTTGAGGTGAACGTTTGCCCCACGGTTGTATTGGTTGTAGCCGCTGATAGTCTCCTACCATCTGCAGAGTCAATCAACTACTGACTGTTTGGCGATATAATTAATCCTACTCATCATCAAATCCCTTATGCTTTGCGCCATAAAACGCAATCACACTTGATCATTACCAAGCATTGAAAAATGTATGAATTATGACCAAAAAAGTATTACATTCATTATTGATTATGCAATTTCAGAATCAATGTTGTACACTGGTTCCAACAGCCGTGACCACAAAAGAAACGTGATGCAAGCAA